AGGCTTCCACTTTCATTAACACTATGCTTGTAAATTATTTCAAAAGAAACACTTGCAAAGACTTTTCCACTTCATCAGTGGGTCACAAATATATTCTCCTTACAAATTTGATCACACACCTCTCCTGTACAACTACTGCACACATCTTTAAATGGATCAACTTGCCTGAAAAATGCATCTATTTCCCAGTATTCTAAGATATGAAAACTATTAGAAAGAATCTTGCTTCACATAAGGGTTATCTCTTCAGAGAACTGAAACTTTCACACTTTCTTTATAAAATAAGAAGTATTTAGAAATAAAAAAACCTTCATACTTTAAAAGCTTTAACTGCTATGAAACATCATCTTTCAGTGAATTACAAATGTGATCCATTCAGAAAGACTTCTGACATCCATCAAGTCACAGGTTTAGCCAATTTTTGAACAACTGATTTTAAAGGGATTAAAAATAGTAAGATAAATGTTATGAAAAGCCATCAAGAAGCAAGAGCCTGCAGAATCAACAATAGTCTGCTATTTCTTCTGCTTCATCCTTCCAATTCAGGGATATCACTAGAGAGGACAGATGAAAGGTAGTCTGCAAGAACCATGAATGACCATCCTGAATTATTTTTGTTTTCAGAAGCAGTTACATATTTTTTTTATTTTTGACCACATAAAAAGATACAACTTTATGAGAAATAGCATTTCAAAATCCATTTTTCTGTTAAACATAGTTCTTTTCTAGACCATTAAGGGGTTTCTTAAAGGTTCAAGCACCCATTCTGTAGTTTGAGCACCGTAAGAAACCTGTTCTCTACCGCCTGTCTAAATTAGTACCGCTTATTGCAGAACATAAAAACGTAAGTACTAAGCATGCCCTTCAAGTGCCAGCAGCTACAATGCCCTGTTGTATTACTTGTGTTTACCTGCTTCTGTACAACTTGTTTCCTCAAAAGATTTTACATGAACTATACATGGGGTTTTGAAGAGTTCCAACTTAGATACATCTGAAAGGTGGAATAACAGTAAACCTGAGACTTGAAAAAAGTCTTAGCAGTACATTCTAGTACAAGTTGCCATATAAGTTCTCTTAGCTCACCAAAGCTCCTTCATAATACTGAAATAATTTCTAACCACTCATAACACATTAAACTGCAGAACACTTGTAGAGCACATTTTCCACTTAGATATACAATATTCACTTCTGGAGGGGGAAAAAATGCAGGATTATTTAATTACCTGTCCTTACCAACTAAGATTAACTAAAAAGCACAGTTGTTTTCTTTAAGGAAAAATACGGCTCTAAACCATCAAGGTATAAGAGATAACAGGGTCACTTGAAATGTAAACACTACTTACACCTGCCACAGGAGAGTGTGAGAGTAGAGTAGCTATTAAATCATCTTAACTCTTGAAAGTTGCTTCTTGGATTTGTGCCACAGAAAACTAGTCTACCCAGACACACACACAACCTCAGATTGTTTCTAGAACAAGAATTCTGTTATGTGTAAACTCTTTTATCTTTGCTATGCCTATAACTGGTCTGCTAAGAATAACATGATATATCCCTCTTCCCTTAAACTGCATCTAGTAAATATATCCTCAAATCAAGGTGGAAAACTAACTACACACTTAAAAATATAGGTCCTGGTAATATCAAGCCAGACATATTCACTCAGGTTTAAAAAAGCTTTCCTTAAACAGGGTTCTTAACAGAAAATACCTTTTACAAGACGGCATGAAATACCTCAGCCACTACTATTCTTGCCTTACTTCCAATTCCTGCCTTACTTCGTTATTACTCCCATTCATTCCAGCTCAGAGTCTGGCATCAAGTTAAGAACATTAGGTGCTCTTAAAAATGTTGGTTTGTTATTCCCCTTTCCAGCTCTTCTATAAACTGATATTTATTATTTCAAAGTAAGGCCTTACAGCTTCAGTAAAGAGCAGTACCTTTATTTAGTTCCCACACAGTCTGCCCACAATTGCAGTTTACCATCTCTACCCATTTTTCTTTTTACAGGAAGAGAGTTACGAAACAAGTAGCCTGTGCCTAACCTTTCTAGCCTAAACACTGTCACTCCAGACATGTACCACACTTTTTTAGCCACCGTAAATAGAATGCGAGCTTGGGAAGCCCTGACTCCAACATCTATTTTCCCCTTTAGCATCTGGCCCTCTTTTCATTAACATTTCATCACAAAATTCCCAGAAAATAGCAGTATCTAATACTGACAACACTGAGAAACTTTTACTTTAGCATTAATCGTAAAATTATGCCTTCTGCAGCATCAAAACAAAAAACATTAGTTTGTGCAGGCTCTGAAGCACTTAAATACCCCCTGTCTATGCTGGCACTTCACATCATAGCTGAACTGAATTCACTGCATGCTGCCTCTCCTTGAAAATGAACCAACACACACTTCTAGAAAGGTTCCAAATCCCTAGAACTCCTTTTCAAGTCACCAGAAAAACAAGTTGGAAGACTGAACTGAAACACCTTGAGGTCTTAAGACACAACACCTAATGATTGACTACAGGTTTTCCTAAGTCTACAGGAAAACGTTCACAAGTCAGTAATGAAAAAATAATACTATCCAGAGGTTTCTTATTGCTTGCAGACAACAATTCCATCTCTCCCCTTCCTAGATTTTAATACCAGAATTGAAAACAAAACCCCCAAATGCCACATACCTACTTTAATCATAATAGCTTATAAAGAAGGACCTCATAAACAAACAGAGCTTTAAGTTTACATAAATTTGTCCTCTATAATACCCTAAAGAATCTCTTTTGATGAATCTCAGAGAAGATAACTATATGAGTCATATACAACTCTACTTACATATCTTTCTCTTTCATACAGGAAAGGAAAAGCTTCTTGTTCTTACTTGGGAACACTTTCCACTCGTAAGGGCTAAAACACACGCCGTCCCCTCCCTTTCCCCATTCTACCATTAAAAAAAAAAGACCAATTTTCTTACAATTATATAAGATACTACAAAATATGTAATAGTCAAAAATAATTCCTACTTATGAGTGAAAATGTGTGCCTATATGAAGCTTCAGACATTCGGAAAAAAAATTACATTTTTCTTGTTGGATACTTCTTACTACTTATTTGTTTAATCTCTGTATAGCCAGCCCTCTCTCACATTGAGACACTTATACTGGGTCACTCCAAAGACAGTGAGAGGTAGCCAGAGGAAAGAATGCTGCATGGCTAAGAGAAGGGTGAGAACAGTGAGATCTCCTCATCTCCTCCTTTTAACAGCTGTTACGTTGACTCAATTGCTCATGAAACAGAAGTCTTGGTTTCACCTTAATTTCTTCTTTGTCCGTGGTTAAGACAGGGGTATTTTCCACAGTCAGCAATACATGTGCTTAAATTGCCTCAAGCAGCCCGAACCCCCTGCATTCCCACCTAGTATCTTGTGTAACTACTGTGTTGTACGAGCTGAAGCACTCCTGCGAATGTGCTACAAGAGACTGGGGAAGAGATCTGTCTGCATGTTATTCTTCATGCCATTCTTCGTGGCTGAGGCATTACAGCTGCTTGTGCTGCTGCACAGCAAACTCCTTCAGATGAATGCCTGCTTCCCCATAACCCCTGCCTGCCTGCAAAAGACACATGGTTTCTCTGGGTCATGTCCCACAGAAAAGCAAGAGAAAGAAATGAAGGAGGAGACAGCTTAAATCTGCACTAACAATTTAACTGCAGAAACAGACACAGCAGTGGTTTCACCACAGTTGAATCCTACCTAAATTGGCATTGTTGCAGCCTCTACCACTGCACCTCTCAGCCTCATATTCATGCTTCCTTCCTCCACTCAGCACTGGCACACATCCATCTGTGTGGCAAACTGGTCTGGGGTGCTCAGCTGCTGAGAACATCCTTATTTTCCTTTGTCAGGACTGTTACATTTTCTACTGGTTTAACATACTTAACCACGCTTACCGTACGGTCAGACAAACAAAAGCAACGGTACAAGATAGAAAGCAGTAACAGGCCAAACGGAACAGAGCAAGAGTATGACTGCAACAGCAAAAAAAAAAAAACTTTACTCACTTTAAACTGTCTCTTGTTAGGCCACAGTATAAGAAAGTGTGACAGCAACCTAAATCAACTCTTCTCAGCTAGAAACTGCTGCTATAATGGCTCTCCAGTGTTCTGAAGCAGTAGGGGTAAGTACTGTCAGGAAATCCTACTTAATGAGTCTACTGATAGTCTTCTAGCATTTTGCAAATGCTAATTAAGCTTCAGAGTATTCAACGTGAAAGGTAAGTAAGATTTTACCACTAGACCTCCCTAGCTTTTTCCTCCGGCTTCACAAAATAGCTTCCATGAATCTTCATCCCAATCTATCTCCTTTTCAAGTTAGCAAGAAATTGTGTCTCAGATGAAATATGTAATTTTGCATTTTGCTACATGAAACTAACTCAATGCCATTTTTGTTACTACATGCAGGGTCCTGACTAAAATAATGAAGACTAACAGGATTCCATAATGCTTTAACTGACTGCAGATTGCGGAACATACAGTTTACCATGGAACTAGATGCACTGTTACCTGTTCAGACTCTCAGTATTTGAAGTGCATGACCACACTCACAAGGACACTAACTTTCAGAAAACAAAACAAACATCTCCCTCATGACCCCTGTTCCCAAGTTTTGATTCAGCAGAACTTGACATCATTCGTGCTGGGAAATTACTTACCAACAGCAATCATTTTTTCAAACCTACAATCTCAAAAGCAAGCTTTCCGTGGAAAGCTTCGTAAATGCTTTTTTTTTTTTTCTGTGACAGATTTTAATAACAGTGAGCATTTATTAGCACATACAGAGATGAAAGTGCAGGCCACCTGCTGTTCACCGATTTTATTCCTATAATTTCATGATGACCATAAAATTTTGATTCCTTTTAGTGATACTGGTTGCACTTGAAGGAAAACTGACCTTTTATCCTGAGGCAAAAAATGCGTGTTAAGCAAACAGAAAACCACCACAAACTTACTCTCTAGTTCTTCTTTCTCGAAGTTTGTATTGATAGTAGAGCTGATTTTGCCCATATCCACAACAGCTTCTTCATCATGACCCTGAAGAAAAAAGACACAAGTTTAAATTAAAACAGAACTGGTTTTTTCTACATTCATAAATATATTCTGGAGTTCTAAAGCCATTTGTCAAAGTCTTCTAAAACAATTTTTACCTCTTAGAAACTGAGAAAGAAAATGTCACTGAAAATCTATTCATACAATTCTTCAAGAAAACATTACCCTCTACTGAAGGAAAAACAGCATAAACCAATAGATATGCTAAATACCACGCAATTTCCTTTTGCAATGCTCTTGATTTCATCATATCAAGGATCAGGACATACATTTAAGGACTACAAGATTCTTTAAGTTTTACATTCAACAGCAATTAATCTGCCTCAATAAAATAACTGGCAAATTTATAACAAGTTACATAAATTAACATTCAATGATCTTGAACCCATTTGCTTAAGGGACAATTCCTGTGGGAGATTTTCCAGCACAAATAAGAAGTTTTTAGGAACCAAAGGTTGTATGTGTGTATATATATACATATATACACACACACACATATAAAGGGGGGGAGAGCAGAACGGACATGGGCAGACAAAAGAGGTAAGTTACTAACTTGGGAATCTCTCCTAGACCAACAGTTTTGGAAAGACCAAAATAACTCTTTCACTTGGGTTTCAACAGACAGCTTATTAACCACACCTAATTCATGTTCTTTACGCACAAAGTTAGAAAACAGCAGTGGCAAGATGATCTGCTCAGATTCCATTACTGCTGAAACCATACCACTCATAATGCAAAAACACAGTATTTGAAATAAATATAAGCTCAGGAATGAGTCTTATCTGAACGTGTCCTCTAACCACATTCAGTACATCACTAAAGCAGACCTTTAAACACTGCCCTTTCCTCAGTCTTGACAAAAATAAACCTTAAAATAACTGAGCAGTAGAAATGTCATCTCATCTCAGACTTGACATCAAAACATTAAAGTTGCTTTTCCCCAAATATTTGCATTCCTTAAAATACAGTCCACTTTTAACAGCTCACAAATCACAGCCTCTTGGCAGAACTGGTTCTCCAAAAGAACTGCTGCCTACCCTAAGGGTAACGCTTTACTTTACACCTAACTATGTATAAAGGCAGGATAACTGCTAAAGAATACTACACAGCTCGTGCTTCTATATCATGAAGTCAGATAGATACAAAGTGCTGAAGCAATGGATTTTTTTTTTAAATAACTTAGTTTTCCATTGGATCAGTTCACCAAACTGACTTTTCTCATAGCCATATGTCAGTTAGATCCACCACAAATAAATGCTTGATCGCTGATTCTGGCAGCAGCCCACTGGTGCATTTACATCGATCAATGTGGGATCTGCAATAATGGTTTCATGAGGGGAAAAATGGAAGCCTAAATCAGGAGTCTTATAGGGACTGGGAACCCTAACAGTGTTGATATTTTGATCTTAGAATTATCCAATAATGCAATGCTTTATACATAGAAATGGTTTGTCACCTCACAGTGAAGTGACAAGGACCAGAAACAACATACCTGTGTAACAGCTACAAGCTAAAAAATACTGTAGCAACCCCCACAAAAAAAATCCAAATTTGAACAGGAAACTCCTTAGTCTTTAAATAGACATTTATTATAGGGTATTGTGCACACATGCACACTGTACTGGGTTAAGCTGAGACAGAGTTA